TTTGGTTTCAGAAAGTACTGAAGAAACTCTGTGACATTCATGAAATGCTTTGAAATACATATATGTGTTGGACCAGTATCTGAAGATAATTATAGTGAATTATATTAAAAATAATTCTGAATATTTTTAACAAGAAGCCTGTATTATTGCCATCTGGCTTATATTGTGTTTTTATGTAATGTGAACAAACATGTTTTCTCCACAGATTCATTTGGGTAAGAAACAACTTGGTGCACAAAAATCCCAAGAACTTAGAAGAAAGTATTATGCTTATAGATCTCAGTAGGAGGCCCTGCTTAATGCTCTCCCCCAGCGTTCAGGCGACACATGCTCATGCTTTGAAAGGATACCAGAAGGGATGCAGGATGAGATTCAGGAAGATGGAACTACACATGAGAGACATTGGCTTTGATTTTGTATTTTATTTAATTATTATTATTATTTATTTTTTTTTTTTTTACAAATCTACCTTCTTCAAGTCGTATACCTGCCTCAAAGATCCTTAGTGCTGTTACAGAACAGCCAGAGATTATTTATTAGCATTGCTGCTGACATTACCAGTTCCTGGATTCTCTAATTGGGTGGTGATGTAGTCTTTTCAGAAAAAAAAAAACAGGTTTCGCCTCCAGATTGGCTTTGCTTTTAAGTTTCTTTAGGCTGAATTCCTGTTATAGAAAATGAGTTGCTATTTCCTTTTCAAAAATGTGAAACATTCAAGGTTTAATATTAGTCATAATGCATTTGCTGGCTTTTGAGAAATCAAGAACATGTCAGTGTTAGATTTTGTTAGCTTCAGGAATTTTTTCCCCCTTTAAATTGTGTCAAGTTGAACCATGCAGTAACAGAAGGAAGTCCTGCTGGTTTCTTTTCTACAGCATCTATTTAAAGTGCGTAGTTAATGACCACATTTTATGAAGTGATCAATATGCCGTCTTTGATCTGGTGATTTATCAGCGTCTTTAATTTAATAATGTCTTTCCCGTGGGGATGGAAATGACTCAGTTACATAAATTGCAGAGGAAACCATCCACGTCAAACCTTGCACATAAACACTGATGGATTGGCTGTACATTAATGACCCTGCTATTGAAAAGCCTATAAATTAATCATAGGTGCAATTAAAAATATGCATTTGCCTTCTGGTATTAATTTATAGTGCATCAGTGTCAAAATCTAAGAGTTCAATAATACACTTGTTAATTGTGTTTGTTTATGAATTGAACTAAAAGGCTGCTTAGCTTCAATAATTCAAAAGTAATTTATCTTGATTTCTTTTAGTGCATGTAGCCAGCCTCAATTATGACACTCTCATGCTGGCTAGACAATCAGTTCAAATAAATGACTCAATTCCAGGGCTGACCCATTTCTTGAACATCATTGTTTCAAAATACTTGTTGAATCAAAAACTTGTGAATAAAAACAACTATAGAGGAAAAGCATTAAATTAGAAATACCCAGCAATGGAAAAATAAAATGGTCATTATTGGTTAACGTCTTTAAAAACTTACAAAGTATTAATTCTTGCAAAAAACATTTGTCAAAAATAAAGATAATTTATTGCACTTATGGATAAACCAGTGCAATATTTATCCAACTCCAGTGCAATTCAATTTCTATTTAGTTGTATAGCGTCAATTCACAACATACACTATATTGCCAAAAGTATTTGCTCACCCATCCAAATTATTGGAATCAGGTGTTCCAATCACTTCCATGGCCACAGGTGTATAAATTCAAGCACCTAGGCATGCAGACTGTTTTTACAAACATTTGTGAAAGAATGGGTCGCTCTCAGGAGCTCAGTGAATTCCAGCGTGGAACTGTGATAGGATGCCACCTGTGCAACAAATCCAGTCGTGAAATTTCCTCTTTCCTAAATATTCCACAGTCAACTGTCAGCTGTATTAAAAGAAATGGAAGTGTTTGGGAACGACAGCAACTCAGCCACGAAGTGGTAGGCCACGTAAACTGACGGAGCGGGGTCAGCGGATGCTGAAGCGCATAGTGCGAAGAGGTCGCCAACTTTCTGCAGAGTCAATCACTACAGACCTCCAAACTTCATGTGGCCTTCAGATTAGCTCAAGAACAGTGCGCAGAGAGCTTCATGGAATGGGTTTCCATGGTCGAGCAGCTGCATCCAAGCCATACATCACCAAGTGCAATGCAAAGCGTCGGATGCGGTGGTGTAAAGCACGCCGCCACTGGACTCTAGAGCAGTGGAGACGCGTTCTCTGGAGTGACGAATCGCGCTTCTCCATCTGGCAATCTGATGGACGGGTCTGGGTTTGGCGGTTGCCAGGAGAACGGTACTTGTCTGACTGCATTGTGCCAAGTGTAAAGTTTGGTGGAGGGGGGATTATGGTGTGGGGTTGTTTTTCAGGAGCTGGGCTTGGCCCCTTAGTTCCAGTGAAAGGAACTCTGAATGCTTCAGCATACCAAGACATTTTGGACAATTCCATGCTCCCAACTTTGTGGGAACAGTTTGGAGCTGGCCCCTTCCTCTTCCAACATGACTGTGCACCAGTGCACAAAGCAAGGTCCATAAAGACATGGATGACAGAGTCTGGTGTGGATGAACTTGACTGGCCTGCACAGAGTCCTGACCTCAACCCGATAGAACACCTTTGGGATGAATTAGAGCGGAGACTGAGAGCCAGGCCTTCTCGTCCAACATCAGTGTGCGACCTCACAAATGCGCTTCTGGAAGAATGGTCAAAAATTCCCATAAACACACTCCTAAACCTTGTGGACAGCCTTCCCAGAAGAGTTGAAGCTGTTCTAGCTGCAAAGGGTGGACCGACGTCATATTGAACCCTATGGATTAGGAACGGGATGTCACTTAAGCTCATATGTGAGTCAAGGCAGGTGAGCAAATACTTTTGGCAATATAGTGTATGTCCTCTGCCGGCACTTCACAGAAACGATTCAACCAGATCATACAGTAAAATTGGTTCAAAGACTTCTATCAATGTCATTGCTTTCTACAAGCAATGACATTGTAGTACTTGCCTACATAGATTACTGATGGAAGGTTAATCATAATTACATTTAATTCAAATCAACAATATGTTATTGAATTATAATTAAATGCAGCAATAACCCAAGGGCAGGTTTTCAATAAGTTATTATGGTTGTTGTTAGCTGTAGGCAGGAAGGATCATCTAGAGAAGCCTCTCACTGAAGACACTTTGTTGTTGTTTAACAATTTTCTGAAGAGGATACTCACTGGTTCCCATGATGTTCTTCACTTTATGAAGAAATATTCTCTGATATTCTCTCCGAACAGAGCCAGCCTTCTGTATTAGCCGCAGATGGTGGCAGAAGAGATCACACTCTGCTCAACAGACTTATAGAAGATATGCAGCATTTTGCTGCAAACACTGAAGGACCTTAACTGCCTTAAGAAGAACAGTTTGCTCTTTCCCTTTTGTACATGGCTTCGCTGTTGCATCTATCTGATCATATTCTCTGATGTGCTAAGCAGGCAAAGGTGGAAATTTACCTTGAATTGAATAAAGTTGAGACGTTGAGCTTGTTTTCTTCTTACTACCTATAACATTTCTTTACATAACTTGCAGTCAGTCTTCCACGAGATTAAGTCTACCTTGAGTTTTGCTTTCAAAGTTTTCAGAGCATCAAAAACTGCTTACAGACCAGAGTCTGGATGCTGAGCTAAGCTAAGGGATATCCCTATAAATGTGCAGGGGCTTTTTCACTTGGGAGTACCTCCACACCACTGACATGGCTCCTTAATAGTCTGGCTGCTTAAAGTTATTGAGCATTTGACCAGTTAGCATGCTGCTGCTACCACTGCTCCTTCTTCTGCTTCATGTCTTATTTTATGGGGCATCACTGCTGCTTACTGAGCTGGAATATTCATGTGCATAATTATACAGGCTATTAGAGGGGAAATTATGCTAGTATGTGGTCCTTTACTATCAGAGCACATGTAAAGAGAAAAAAAATTGAACTTTATTGATCTCCCAATGAGAAATAAATTCTCTGCCTTTAACCCATCCCCTTGGGAAGCAGTGGGCTGCCATTGTGCGGCGCCCAGGGACCAGTGTGGGGTTAAGACCCAGAGTGGCGGTCTGTGGGAATGGGGCTCCAACTCAGAACTCTATGCCCTAACCACTAAGCCGCCATTCCCCCAAGATATGAGTATAAGCATATGGAATGGTAACCCTATGTTCCCTCTAGTGCTGTAGTTTCTTGGAACATTTAACTTTTTTTTTTTTTTTCCAAACTGAGCACAAATTTTGCATGGTTCAGATCCGTCTTTGTGCTTTAGAGGTATATTTTCCAGCAATTTGTGTAACCAAATACATGACTCATGCTTTACCAAACAATATCTACCCTTTTGCTATTCATAAAAGCAACTGCGGTACAAAGTTATTATTTTTTTTCCCGGAATCTGTGCTAAACTGCCAATTACGTAATTAATACATAAAATGCAATGTTTTACTTTAATTGGTCATATTTTTCTTATACGTCTTGCTTCTTCGGATTTTTTCATTTTAATATTTACTTAAATGTCAAATGCAAGCTTAAGACATTTTTAATCTGAGGAAAATGTAAAGCATATCAAAGAAAATGTAAGGTGCAATTTTTGTTAGGAATAATCTCATTTTAGCTCAGTACTGCTTTGACTATGCTTAGGACCTTCTTCTTTTGAGTAGTGATGACAGCATTGTTGTCACTTAGTTGTCACTTAGACTGGAGTCCCAGAGACTGTGAAACTGCAGAGGATTTTTCCCCAATTAGTTTGTTCCAAATTATCATTCGTTTGAAAACATCCAGAGCAGTTAATCAGCGCAAAAAATCTCACTCTTCCTATTTAATTTTGTTTAATATTCCAAACAAGAGCATGAGAGAGGAGGCAAACAGTTAGTCTTTGTAGCCATGTCCTTGCATGTCATGCATCTAAAATTCCATATTTGTACGTCATGCATTTTCAAAAATCTTGAAAGTGGGGTTCACATTTCTTCTTTTATGTTTAGGTGCTGAAGAAGCTGCAGGTTGGAAGAAGCAGAGGATCGAACTGTTGGCAGACTATGATGAAGTTGGACGGCATGTTGATCCAGCTGTTTGTTTATTTTTGAAGCAACTGGAGAGGTCAGTCACCATATAGCTGTCTTTGTCACAAATCAGGAATATCTTCAAGGTTCTCCAGGACCGACTAGTTCAGAGAATAGAAGTATGCCTTTTGACTGTGACCTTGTTCTAACATTCATTGTTTTTGTCGTTTTAATGAAGTAACACTTTATCTACTACAGCCTCCTTTACATGCAGATATCATCTTGACTTCATTATACAAATTAATTCTTGTATCTTCAAACTGCATGGAAACTGCAGTCTTGTCTGTATGATGAAATACATAAGCATGTCTGTTACTAGGACCCCTAAGCCCTTTATGTTCCTCCTTTGAATCAGTTATGATAGTATAAGAAACTCTGGATCTTTCAACTTGGACAAGGTTCATTAGCTTGTATAACAAAGATAATTGTGTCTGCTGTGGAAGGCTTAAAAATGTCACCATGCAAACATATTAAACTCTTTTTAGAGCCAAACCTCGTTTTACACTCACTGTTTAATAATAATGTTTTGCCCAGCTTTGTTTTAATTCTTTGCAGACTAGAATGAAAATTTTTTCTCATTCTGCAGACCAGTCTGTTTTTGTTATGTCACAATTAGGGCTGCAACTAACGATTATTTTAAAAATCGATGAATCGGCCTATTATTTTTTCGATTAATCGATGAATCGGACAAAAAATATTTTTCATATTAACCTCTTTATTCCAAAATAAACATTTTAGACAGAACAAACAAGCACACAAGTACAGGTTGCTCATTAACTGTACTGGTGCAATATGAAAAATAAATGTTTGTGTTAAAACTATGCAAACTTACATGAGAAATGTAGCTGTACATCCACAAAATATAGGCTACTTTGTTTCATAAAGCGCAAAAAAAGACATTTTTGTTTTTAAAAGCTCCTAAGGGGCTCAAACAATAGGTCCCCCCATTTCAACAAATGAGTTTCTTTTAGACTAGAAGAGTTCTGCCTTTTAAGACAGGAAAGTATAGCAGTTAAAGTTGCTACTTGAGAAAATACTTTACCATAGAGATAAAAATAGCCCTGTGATTCAAATTATAAATTGTATTTGGAATAAAAATGAGAGAACTAGGGGTGCTAAAAAACACATCCTCCAAAGACAGATATTTAAATGGGAATGTGGCATATAATTAATTGACATATTACTGATCTTGCTGGATTTTATTCTGCTTTACTTCCATAAATTGCAGGATCTTCTTTATCTTTGCCAGAAGATTTAAACTTTAAAAGCCTTGCCCTCATAATTTGCAAGTTAATTTATTTATAAAGAAAATATAAACGCTGCTTAAGCTAATTCAAATGAAATTTAAAGTAAAATAAGTAGCCAACCTTATCACTGTCTGTAACCTACTAACAAGGTAAGGAAAGCATCAGATGAGCTACCTGAGAAACTAACGTTACGTTTCCCCACTTTAAAACAAAACAAACATGGTTACTCATCCTGCTGATCAGCTCTCTTCACTGCCATAGAAGGCTCCAACGTGTTTCTATTTCGGGTGCTGCATCATAACAGTGGTGCTTCCGTGCCATGTTAATTTGTTTTGACAAAAGTTGCATGTTACGACTTTTTTCACTTTACAAAGCGCAGGCTATTTTAATTATTGTGATCAATCTGCGCCGTCAATCCCGGCGCATGCGCGCTTCATTTGCAGTCTGGACGCTGAGGGTAAACATCCTGCCGCTCTGACTGCAGCGCTGAGAGGGACTCCTGCAGGAGCGGTAGACCGGGGTTGGAATGGGGGAGGCGCCCCATGGCAGCAGCTGCCGCTGGAGGAACGATACATGCTTTAACTAAGAGTCTCCAAAAGTCGCCAGTGACACGATAAAGTCGCCAGATTTGTCGCTAGTCGCTTTTTTGAAAAATAGTCACTGGAGGGCTCTGAAAAGTCGCTAAATATCGCTGAGTTGGCAACACTGCACCTGCGGCGCTGCCGTATTTTTTTTTTCTTCCCCCGTTTCAGTCAAGTGGATGTGATGACGACAGCGGCGGATGACGCATTAATCGTGCGACACAACTAATCGATGATGAAATTCGTTGCCAACGCTTTTAAAATTTGATTTTTATCGATTTTATCGATTCGTTGTTGCAGCCCTAGTCACAATATAAATTTGCTATATGCAGACGATTTCAAAGTAGGACGATTCTGCTCATTGAGTATGTAGTTTTACCTCATTTATGTCTAGTATGGATGAATGTTCACAGGGGGCATATATGCAAAGAGACAGCATTAATCTAATCTAATTTTAGATTATATTACCTTATTAAAAAACTAATATGGCTGACCTCTGGCTTCCCACCAGTTTGGAATAGTTTTCACAAAGTTATGATTAAGGCCCTCTAGAAATGTAGAATGGTCTAATGCAGAGATCACAGATTAGCGGTCCGGATCTGTAAACACCTGCTGGCTAATCCGGACCCAACCTGATTTAAAACATTTATAAATTACTGCATGTTGTCCGACGACGGTGTCTAAACGTCACTTGTGCCGCTTCTCCCGTTTTGTACCGTAAAGCCCCCCAGAGTGTCCGGGACCAGGCTACACATGATGCAAATTAGCCAATGAGCTGCTGTCAGTCTGAGTTGCTGCTGCTGCTGCTACTTTTAGACACAGCAGGAAAACCTGTGGCCAGCCGGGCGATGGGAAAGAAGGAGAAGACTATGAGGAAAAAATGACCCTGCACATTTTTAGTATGTTTGGCTCAACGTGCTGCTGTGAAGCAGGATTCTCCACCATGAACATAATCAAAAATAAATATAGATCCAGGCTCAAAACGAGCACCTTGATATTTAATTGAGAATGGCATTCAAACCCAGGTTTAAAGCCTTTCATGTCAACCTAAAGCCCACTGCTCTCATTAAGCCAGAAAAAAAGAAAGGAAAAATAATAATAAACGGTCAGTTCAGGTGTTTTATGAAAAAAAAAAAAAAGTGACTCAGGAAATTGTCTTTATACCAAACTAAAAGATTGGTTGTTGTTCTCTACTACAAAAACAATTTAGATTTTAAAATGGAAAAAAAAGGTTCTATTTTTTATATTTTTTTATTCAAAATTCAATGTATAACATGGATGCATAAACGCTCATTTTATTTAAGTGTTAAATTCTTTTTAAAGTAAGGGATTATAGTTAAAAATGTCTCCGGAACTTTACTGGTTGTTGATTTTCTTTATTCGGACCCCGCTAATTTTTAATTGGTTACCCCTGGTCTAATGTGAGTATGGAGTTTAGTGAGTTCAGAAAACAGTGCTAAAAGCTATTTCAGTCTTTCTATTTCTATTACTTCAGATTTGGCCTAATAAATGCAGTTGCTCTCAAATCCTACTGCAGCGTTTGACATCATTTTCTTCCCTGCTTTTTCCAGGTTTACTTTGTCTTTGTAGGACAAGCACTTTGCTTGACCTCCTTCTCAAACAATCCTGTGATTTTTCTTTTCTAACCCCTTCATTTGAGTCTTGGATGTTTTAATCCCCCTACAGACTCTGGCTATAAGCTTTGTGGTAATGCCTTGCCTAATCCTCTTCAGTAAAACACACTCACGTATTAACCTCAAAGCAGTTTACTCACTTACTGACTGCTTTCGAACAAAGCAGGATTGTTGTTTGTGTTACAGATTTGTGTCGGTGGGACTGCTTGGTGAAGGTCTCCCTAATTGTGCATTTTCCTGTCTTTTAAGTAACGTAGGAGGAAAGATAATCACACATTATTTACAGCTTTAAGCAAGATGTGTTTTTTTTGAGTGGGAGGTTAAGTTTTGTTATGACTCAATGCAACACCTTCTAAACCACCAAACACTGTTTTTGTTTGTTTTGTTTTCTGTTATTTTATTATTATTATTTTTTTAATCAGCCATTGAAACACTAAAGTAATTATAAATCATCTCTTCTCAGCAATCAAGACAAGACAGCGGTCTTTGAAAGTTGACCAATGATTTTGCTTATTATTTAAATTCGAAACCTAAATATATGTCCATGGAAATAATCGGTTTGGTCAACCATGGTGACTTTGCTCCGTTTTAAATAAAAAAAGAAGAAATAGACATGCTAAAAATGTATAATGGTTAGAAAAATCTGAGTGTGAAGTCTCTAATTATTGTTAAATCTTACTTCCAGTTTATACTACATCAGTCTTAACAAACAATAGAGGAAATGCTGCTGTTAATAATCATTGAATGTGCTTGTTTGTCACTCTGGCCAAATCAAAATTGAGTTTGTATTTATGCAGAAAACTGTTTATAAGTTAGGATTTTTTTCAGACTCTGAACTTTTGTAAAAAAAATTATCAACAATTTGACACTTTTTATTTATCTTCAGATAACTCTGGTTAATCAAACCAAACCCATTTTTATTTGTGTTCTTTAGTTTATCGTAAATCACATGCAAAGAGAAAATCTTCCTTAGACTGAAAGACAAAGGTTTTGCATTTTATGTGGAAAGTTTCAAAGATAGAAATGTCTTTAATTGCACTTATTTATATAACAAATATGAACCCCTGATCAAACCATTATAACCTAAAGCACTATGCTGACCTACATGATTTCTCTACATTTGCTGTAGCTTGCATGCAAAAAACAACAACACCCAACTGAGTGACTGTTAATTTTGTTATTGCAAAACTCCAAAAGAAATGGATAAATTGAAACATCATTTTAGTTTTTTATTAGAAATCTCTATAGTAAAAAATAAACTAATTTTAAAAACTACAGTGTAAGAAATAAATTAGGAAATACCTCTTATAGTTAAGGACCATAAAACAAAGCACATTATCTTTTAAGCTAAATCTATCTGCATTAGACTTGCATTTGTGAAACACATAAAAAAGAACAAGTTTATGTTTGTAATAAAGATTCAAGCAGCCTTGGTGTCCTCCAGAATTAAGTTTATTAAGCATTTCTGTTGTCCATAAATCCATAATACCAACCTGTTCACACACACAGCCTTCAAATGAGCTAAAATGCCTCTTAGCTGCGGAATAAGCTGATTACTTACTAGCTGTCTCAGAC